TGCTTGGAAGAATGATTAAATTAAAATAGTTTTTGAACCAACACATCCTAAAGACTTGTCAAATGTCGGAAAATTAGAGTTCCTGCACTTATTTTTTCCCACTTCAAGCACTGGTCATGGACCATCAAGTTACTGCTGATGTGCTCCGAAAAGGGTTTTTTGTTTGCATGTGTGTATGCTTTAGTTATGTATCTATTTATTTAAATGATTGTGAAGGAATGTTATAGGTGTTATAGGTAACTGTCATAAGACATATACACCACACACACATATTATGACTGAATATTCAAATAAACTAAAAAGCCATTTGCGATACTGTATTTTAGTCTTATCTTTCACCAAGTTACTCATTTTCTTAACTCTAAAAGAGCACTTAGATCCTCCAGCCAAATGTAGCCGAGGTCCCGTTTGAAGTATAGAGGAGATCGAGCTTTTGCAGTGGCAGCCCCTAGACTCTGGATTTTGTTGCAATTGCAGGTTTAAGTATGGCTGCTGTAACAAAGGAAGGAGACAAAGTCTGGATTGTAAACTTTTTTTAATGAACCGGTCAAGAAGAAGATCAATCAGAAAGAATGTTGGTACAAATTGTATGTGGTAAGACAAAACGTTGCAACAAGCAAAAATAACAACAGGGCGTCATAGTAAGAATATTAGACAATTTACAGATATTTATAACACTATATTTACACTGCAACGTCGTTCCCAAACACTTAACCTCGGCGGCTGCATTTGGCATTCACGGTTCCACTCAAATACGGTAGGGACAGCACCTTTTTTCAGACGCCTCCTACTTGATCCTTCCACAAAGTCATCGGGTCTGAAATGGACACTGCACACCTTTGTGTGTTTTGTTGTTTGGAAGTTGTCTCTTCTGATGTTCACTATCCATTTTTTCCTAATCTCCTCTTCCACAGGAAAGGAATGAAAACTTACACAGGAGTTGTACCGTGAAGATACCGAGCACAAAGGGACACTACAGTGCTCCGACGCTGCTTTAATTTGTTTTTGACGTCGCAAAACCGTCTTCTCCATGGTTATGTAGAGTAAACACAAAACTGTATTACATAAAACTTTTTTCGCTTGTTATTTAACTGAAGGTGCGATACTCCCACACAGCCACTAGTTTCTCTTGCAAACCGGAAGCTTTCCTGTCTGTATAAAGTATGAGCGGAAATACGTCAGCATTCTCGTTGCATACCCCCAATTAGGGTTTATTGATGGGAAGTTCGGCTCAATTAACTGATTTGATTCTTTCGAACTGGCCGTTGTAATGAATCGATTCTAAAACCGATTCTATGATTCACTTTTTTTTTTTCGTCTTTTTTTTTGCGCCTGACCATATGACTCAAGGAATCATGGAATCGGATAATAAATCTGTCTCAAGCTTACGTTATTTGACTGAAAGATAGCGCTGGTGTTCAACAAAAATGTTCAGCTTGACTATTCACAAAAAAAAAACAATATATAAAAAACAGAAAGATGTCGATGCTGAATAAACACACGTGTATATACAGTTCTTATTTTCTTTACTTAAGCCAAATTCATGTGCATGAGTATCAAGGACTACACCACAGTTAACAAAAACTGCAATATTACCAATACAATCACACATACATACAATGAGCATGAGTAAGCTTGTATACGTTGTTGTGTAAACGTCAAAGTTAATACAGTGGTACCTCAGAACTCGAATTTAATCTGTTCAGAACTCCGGATCGAATCCTAAAAAGTTCGAGTTGTGATGGAATTTTCCCCATAAGAAATAATGGAAAACCAATTAATTGGTTGCCGGCCCCAAAAAATTACACCTAAATATGTTTTTTTAAGCATTTAAACACAAAATGAACCGGATAAAACAAGAAGAGCATATACTGTACTAAACACATCTAAGCACATTTATTAAAACAGTAATTTGTAAAGTAAGAAAATAAATGTATCCAAATAATGTGTAAAGTTAAAAAAGCCAATGTGTCCTGCCCCAATCGTCCGCTCCTTCCGTGTGCCACGCTCCTCGTTAACCCCGTGTGGAATCCCCATGTCATCAGCTGTTTCTGGTTGTTGTCATTAGTCCTCTGTATTTAGTCCGCTTTCAGTTTGTTTCTCCAGTTCAGTCATTGTATTGGCCGTCTGCATTTTGCCTTCCTTACCTGTAATTAAACCCCGTATTCCCCGATACCCTGACGTCTGCGCCTTTGTCTCCGCTCCGTCCCCACTCGGCATGACAATATTATTATAATTAAAAGTATTAATGGTTTATTATTAATATTAAAATAATTCATAAGAAATATTTATTTATAGATGTATTTTATTATATAATAATAATTACTGTTACTGTCTATCATTGTCTAAATGTATTTTTACTGTCAAAATATATGTATTCAGCTAATGTAAACATGCAGGATGCTAGTTGTATGCGCAGGGAACTAGCAGCGAGTAGTTATTAGAGGCACAATATCACAGTGGGCCTCCGTTCATAGTGGGGTACCGCAGGCTTCAATTTTAGGACCTCTACTGTACCTAATTTACATTAATGATATTGACACAAATACATACAGTAAACTGGTTAAATTTGCAGACGACACCAAGGTGGGCGGGGTAGCAGATACTAATCTAGCAGCAG